CATTAAACGTTCTTTAATGTGTTTTATATCAATTCACCTCTATATCATAAATACATTATTAACAATTCCGTTGACTACATATATATTCTAGTTTTATTTGTGTGCTGATTTCTTTATGTATGAACTTCCTAAGTTATTAATATTCTGATTCCTAAAAAAGATGGAAACAATGAAACAGTTAAAACTCTGAGAAACTCGTAATTGGTCATAATTAATAGATTAAATCATACACTTTATTTGTGTATTTAGTTTATTAATATTCAGTACGTTCAGTTTCATGGATTGTGGTTATTCGTATGAAAGCATCAATTATTTATTTTTTAGGTGTCATTACCAAGGTTTGATTTGATATTTGGTTATTTGTTCTCTGAAGAAGTGACTTACACTAAGTCACGAAACGTCAGAAAATCCAATTTTCTACTCATTGGGATATTACAAATATATTATTTTTATTTTTATTTATAATTATTTATTTTCTTTAAAATCAGGGATTGATGGTGGTTAACAGTGAAATCCAGGACGCATATTTCGTCCTATTTGGAACTCGTAAACTAGATGTACATGCATCCCAGAGTTGATGCACACTCCAGGACTAAAACCCATTACCGTTCGCCTCAAACGTCGTCACACTATTCACTCAGCTACTGAGTTCAGATAACCACTAGCTTGCGCAATGGGATGAAGTTTAATTGATTTATGTAGTATTTGTTTTATTCCTACCATTAATGTTTAGAACTGCAACTGATCAGTCTCTTACAGACAACTTTGCTTACACTATTCAAAAAAGACTGGTATTTGATTACTGATCGTCGTTTTTAAATAGGAATCAATGGTTTTGGGAAGAGTGTAAAACGATCGTACACTTATTTCAATTACAAATGAATACCATTCACAACTGGTTAAGCTATTCAATCTGTCATACTTCACGTAACGAATGATTTTCGGAAATAAACTGACAAATCCCTAACATATTTCATATCGTTTGTTTGATTATGTTGTTTATTTGGATGGATATTTGATTGAAGATCACTATTAATACTTTAGACATTTTGCTGTTGAACGCCACATAATTAATCCATTTAAGGTTTTAAATGAAACTGAGCTTCAGAGGAACAATACTTCTGTCAGAATTGTAGAAGAATTCTTAAACTGATATGATGGAAGGAAAAGTCAATTTTTGGTTATTTTACTCATTATGAGTTTTGTTAAAGATTACTTCCGTTTTGATTCAATGTAATGATTACTCAATTTAGTATTTGTTTTATTGTCTCGTATGATATTTCATTCTGTATAATGTGCGATGTTCTTGTATTCCATTGACATGAACTATGCTCAGTCTGTGATTTGTTATAACTCTAAGTATTTTTCACATACGTGATTTCATCCTAATTATTAATAAAAATGGGTGTGCAATCAATATATAAATGAGTGTATGTTGTACTAGAATCGTCGTCGTGTTTTGGGGTTAATAAGTCATCACTTATACCAGTCTTTGTGTTCTTGCCGGGGTCCCTCGTTCCGAGTATAAGTGATAAGTGTTTCCGACGTAACAATCAGCGACGACCAGATAGAAAACGTAGCAAAAAAAAGAGCCAAGACAATAAGCATTTAAACGACAAGTTATAAACCAAAACAAAACTTTGAAAATTTAAATACTTTCCTCAAATATTTAACAATCTAAGTTTGGAAATAAGATTTAGGCAAAAATATTCATACCACTTTTCTATAAACGCAATCCGAAACTCAGACAAAATGTGGGAATCTTACAAATGTAAACAATTTGGGAAAATAAATCTTTTTGATTTAATGACTCCTGTCTGACTAAAGGAATCTTATTTCTATCATTAATATGGATTTTAAAAATAATTTTATGATTCTAATAAGACAATGCTCCCAAGTGTCCTGTGGCGGCTGGGGTTGGGGAGAGTTAGCTTTTTCTTTCGAGATGCTCTCACATACCCACGAGTATACAATCACTGCCAGGGAAGTCATATTCACTGCTTTCTCGCGGCGAGGGCACTGTTTAAGAAACTGAGAGGAAGAAAAGCGAATATCTGGTGATTGTAACCGGGTTGGTGAACATGGAGGATCCAATTAGGGGGGTTGGAAAACCCTGGTTCCAGATCAATTTTACACATGGGCTCAATTGTCCTGAAGGAACAAATGGCCTATGAGCCAATTATTGGTCACTGGCTACCATGAGACTGCATCTCCTGACGTTGATCCACTCACTGCCTTGTGGATCAAACATTTAGGTCGAAGACTCCGAATGTAGTCTTGTAAGAAAATCACCTACTTCGGTCTGAGCACTCGAGCATAGTCACAGCCCACATACAAATCAAGTCAGCTGTGTGGCGCATATGTATTCGGTGCCCCTTTATACCAATATTTATGTGTTCGAATAAATAAGTAAAGTAAATAATTAGAGGAAATGTGTTTCGCTACTTGGCTAGAGGCTTGTATCTTGAATAAAATTGTTATTTAAAACACATATATATGAAAGAAAAATATAAATCAAATATCCCTGTTGACATTTTAGCACCTAAATGTCAATAATATAAAATTATTTATGTCGAAATCAATAATGTGTAGTTTCAACGTGAATAAATAACAGCCCGATAAACAACTAGTGTTTCGTGTAAAATTGGGAATATGTCCAGGCATTTATTTTATAATGGAAAAGTAACACGTTCAATTAATCAATAGTTATACTAACTATAAAAGGATCCAATTTTATCAAAGTAAATATATTATCAGAATGGGTTTTTTGTGGAGATTTTTAGAAATTTCACAAGTTGAAATGATGAGTCAGTTGAAGCTAGACCACCATTGAAAACCTGGAAGCACTGGACGGCCGTTTCGTCCTAGTATGGGACTCCTCAGCAGTGCGCATCCACGACCCCGCACCACCCGGGGCTCGAACCCAGGACCTACTGGCTTCGCGCGCGAGCACTTAACCATTAGACCACTGAGCCGGCATCCAACGGTGTTAATGTCTAACTTCAACCAATCCACGAAGTTGCGCTACCGTACACCATTGTCCTAGTGAGTTCCTATCTCACAACAGACCTGGTTGAACTCCACTGGTAACGACTTCTCACTAGAACTCCAGAAGTGTCTCCTGAAGTCAGTCACTAGTGAGCAGGTGATTATTATTATCAGAATGGGTTACCAGTGGAGTTCAACCAGGTCTGTTGTGAGATAGGAACTCACTGAGGACAATGGTGTACGGTAGCGCAACTTCGTGGATTGGTTGAAGTTAGACATTAACACCGTTGGATGCCGAGTCAGTGGTCTAATGGTTAAGTGCTCGCGCGCGAAGCCAGTAGGTCCTGGGTTCGAGCCCCGGGTGGTGCGGGGTCGTGGATGCGCACTGCTGAGGAGTCCCATACTAGGACGAAACGGCCGTCCAGTGCTTTCAGGTTTTCAATGGTGGTCTAGCTTCAACTGACTCATGATTTCAACTTGTGAAAGTAAATATAGCCTACCATTTTGTGTTTTTATAATTTAGATTTGAATTGGTTGTTTGAATCTTGTTATAATTGTTTAGGACTGGAATTAATTAATCTCTTTAAGTATATGTGCATCCTATGTGGATCGCCTCCATAGTGTCTTAAATGACAGGAATTACATTACTTGAACAAATCATTATAAAAATGAATCTATTTTTTTCTTTTTGTACGTAAAATGATTTTATAGTTTAGAAATGAAATGATTTTACTGGGTTCATTTTTTCATTAAGTTGTTTTTCCTTAAAATTTAGTATGTCAAGTTAGATGACACAAGTTCTATTTATGATCTGGTGTAAATATAAAAGGCTGTAACCGTTTAACGGAATAATCCTATTTGATATTGTAAGAAAATAGTTAAAATCATCTGAACGTTTAACAAAAAAGAATGCTACTCATATTAAAGTGTAGACCTTCGTACTGAACTATGCTCAGTTAAACATTCTATAGATCTCCAAGTTACCCGGCTTATCATTTATCTATATTGATGGGTTTTATATGATGAATAAATCGAAAGAGTACGATGTAAAATATCTTTCACCAACCGTGTATAAATAAAAAAAATACATTTTCATCTAGACGTAAACAATGTTTTACAAGAATAACAAATATCCTATATGACCGCTTTTTGATATTTAGCTCTAAACGTCTAACTGAACGATAATGAATTTTAATATGTCAGATACTCGAGTGAAGCGAAATTCATAGTAAATCAATAACTTGTTAATGTGAGCAAAAGAACTCCATTCTACGTTCCCAAAGTTATGTACTCATGAATAATAACTATAGAAGTATAAATGACTGGACTTTATTTCAATTACACTATTCATTTAAGTAAATAAATTATACATTTTAACCTAGTCTGTGAAGATGGAGCTGTGTTATTGAAGTCTTAATTTGCTAGTTTGTTTATGTGAAATGAGATAAAAAGATTTTCAGTGATTTGGGGAATATTAGTTAAAAGCGAACAACGATACTAACAATATCTGTTTTATAAATGTCTATTTATATGTGTATTTAAGAGTTCAGCATTCTTTGAGAAATTTCAAGTTTATTTGCTGTGTGATTGATGAATTATTAGCTACTTTCTGTTTTTAATTTGTATCCATTCCTAATCATTTTCATGTAAAACTTTTCCTTCAATTCTTTAATTGTCAAAATGCGATATTCATGCATTCTGAGCATTTAATGTAGTCGTACGTTTAGGTAGTTATAAACTAAATGATTTGAGAACAGTGACTAGTTAATTAGAGTTGAACAAATTAAATGTTAATCTCCATCATGTGATTCAAGGAATTATAATTCTATTCAATGAGAGATAATCATATTATATTCTTAAGAAATATAACGGTATGTTTATCGACTATTTTATACTTTAATTAAGCTATTCAAATTTATATAGTAGTTGTTCCGAATGTATATTCATGAATTGTACCATTGAAATTTTAATCAATTTTTCATTTACTACTTTTCTTTCTCAATTTTTTTTAGCTAAATAATACAATTACATTATGAGACGGAAAGTTGCTTGGTTTACTGTCATTCTTTCAGATAAATACAATAACAGAAGAAGTTATTTGTTATATAGTTTTTATTTCCAAACCGATTCAACAATATTTTTTTTGTCTTTTCAAATTCATTTCTAGAATTCAAATACTTAAATGTATGTTGTCAAGAGTATTTGCTCAAAATAATAATAATAATAAGTTATACATCTAAATAATATGCTTCAGAAGTGATGAATTTTGTTATCCTTTTATTTAATGTTCTTTATGTACAGTAAATTGATACTATATAATATAAAACTTATATGCATAATGAATTTAAATTAATTTTTTAAGCTCCTTGAATATTTCTTCTTTTCTATTGATGATGTAATTGTTCTTTAAGCAATAGATATTGGATAGATAAAGAAAGATTAAGATGATTATTTTTGAACATTTCAATAAATGGAATGTATGAATTCTATAGACTACTTATATAATGTCAATATATTTATTTTAATATGGTAAATATATTATTTTATTAGATGTAATATTTTCTTTTTATTATTATTATTATGATTGTCTTTCAATAAGTCTTTGATTTTTCATATGTGTTAATTTCCGAAGACAAAAATTTTTTTTTTCAGATACATGTACACGACTGTATAGCTTGACAATAAATTCGTTGAATAAAGAGATCCTTTCGCTGAACTTCGTGGTTTTTAATTCTTCAGCGAATTTCTTCTTCCTCTTCATCTTCTAAACTCATAATTAAATTGTATTTAAAAGACAAAACAAAATAAAATAAAGAATTTCCCTAATATTACAGATTATCAACTTATTAAGATGATAATTGTACTATATATGAATCCAATGTACAAAGTATGAAACAATTATTAAATAAAATAAAATAAATAATATCCGTAATTATATTTTGTTGATAATATTTAACATTTTTTTTATTTAATGTTTTATTCATAAAAATTATATCCATTTTCATTGGAATTTTGTTTCGAATTTCTGTCATAATCAAAACACTTTAACTAGATATTTATGACTAATGTAAATTTCAATTTTAATCATACCTTAAAGTAATTTTTTGATTCAGATGATAAATCGATTGATGTTAGACGATCATTGAAAAGTTGGAAGCACTGGACGGCCGTTTTGTCCTATTGTGGGACTCTTAAGTAGTGCGCATCCATGATCTCGATCGCAGGATTCCAACACCGGACCTATTGGTCTCGCGCATGAACGCTTAACCCCTAGACCACTGAGCCGGCCTGCATCCAATTGTGTTAATGTCTAACGTCAACCGATCCGTGAAATTGTGCGACTATATTCTATTCCGTTTCGTCCAATTAAACGATAAGTTTTAAATTGGTAATAATTGGTTAGTTATTTCTTAAAATTCATATAAAATGTAAGTACATGTCGACAGAGCATCTTTTGTATGTTGAGGAAATGTCCGTAGAACACCTAGCAGATCATCACAGTCGATTGAACGAAGGAGGTAATTTGAATAGTGTTATTATATTGTTCATGAAGGACTGCAATGATCATTCAATGTCCAGCCTTCATATATTGTAGGCTTATTGAAGGTTACTGGACTGTTGTTCATGGGAATGTGTATCACAAGTATGAGTGCAATTACCTGAGGTACGAAACCAACTCTTAGATACACAGCTTAACGGACGTGGACTTTGAAACAGACTGTGTGACACGCGCAACATTGCTCAGCCGCCAAGTGAAACTGCTAATAGAATCACTTGATATTTTGTTGCTGCAATGCAACGTTTCATTTTGAGACGGTGGAGAAAATTTGTAGCTCAGGTGGATGATTTTGATGGAGTTTTGTTCTCTGAGCTGGATGGTTTGGTCGTGGAGCTTGGCCAACTGCGAAAAACACTACGTCGGACAGAGCGGACGCCCCCTTCACCTTCGCCTGCATGAACATCAATTAGCAGTCAAACGGCGTGATATCTCCTCACTTATATCAATACACGTGGACAACTGCGGACACTCATTCGACTAGAAAAATGTGGAAATCATGGACAGAGAAAATTTCGAAAACACCAGAGAATTTTTGGAAGCCTGGTGCTCAGGTCAATCAGCAATCACAAGCACACTGAAATCGATCCAGTTTATCAACCAATCAGGAAAATCATGCACAAATATAGGAACAAAAATCAAACCAATGGGAGACACAACCAAAAAAAGAAGTAAACAATGACAAATTTAAGGTCAATAAGAACCAATCAGCATCAAGGTGTACGGAACAAGCTGTGAAACGCATATGGAGAAATTCAAACACTTCACTTCTATCTGAAGTTTGTTCTGATGATGTCGTTCAGAAGAACGATGCAAGTTCCACGACCAAACCATCCAGCTCATTGAAAAAAAGCCCCATCAAAAACGTCTGATTCGTTTTGTGCCTGGGACTCACAACCACGATCCCGTAGGTTTCACTGTTCCATTTGCGGCGCCATCGTTCAAGACAATCGAAAATGTTAAGAGACCGAGTGAAGGTTGTTTTCACGGCCACTCAAAATTTGATTTAAACTCTATTTTTTCAATTCGTTACGAATTGTATTACAATTTTTCTTCAATCTCATTCCACACACCGCATTTTTTTAAACGATAGTTCCGCCATAATTGCATTTAACAGGAATTTTCAGTAGTTATTAATACTTTACTTACTTACTTACGCCTGTTGCTCCTCATGGAAGAGCATGGGCCATTCATCAGCATTCTCTATCCATTTCCGTCCGGGGCAATATTTTCCAGTTCTTCCCAGTTGCTATTCATCCTTTTGAGGTCTCCTTCCGATTCTCGAAGTAGTGTGTTCTTCACCCTTCATCTTTTCCGTTTTCGTTCAGGATTACAAGCTAATGCTTGCCTCGTGATGAAGCTCTATGATTTCCTCACTGTGTGCCATATCAATTTCCAACGTCTTTTCCTAATTTCTTCTTTATCTGGAAGCTGGTTTGTCCTCCTCCACAGTAAGCCAAAGGATATTGAATATCTTATGTAGAAAAATTTATAAATACTTGTGTCTTTTTGATGATGGTTGTGGTAGTTCTCTACGGTTCAACTGAGTACACTAGGACTGTCTTGACGTTCGTATTGAAGATTCTGACTTTGATATTGGTTGACAGTTGTTTTGAGTTCCATATGCTCTTCACTTGGAGGAATGAGACACTAACTTTGAAAATCTTCGCCTTTACGTCTGCATCCAATCCTCTTTGTTCATCGAGGGTGTTATCCAGGTACGGACATGTGTTCTCCATGTTGCAGTTGAGGATCTTGCCTTTTTCCTTGTGTATATTGAGGCCTACTGATGCATAGGTTTCTGTTACACTAGTTGTCTTGACCTGCGTTTATTTGCGTGTATTGGAAGGGCCGGGTCTTCTACGAAGTTCGAATCGTCTAGTTGGATCCTACCTGTTCATTTTATTCCGTGGTTCCCTTCACATTCGGAGGTCTTCATAATATCGTCACCACCAGAAGAAAACCAAATGGTGAGAGTACAATGCTCTATCTAACACCCATCTTCACTTGGAATGCATCTGTGAGCTGTCTTCTATCCACCGCTATGCACTGTAGTCCGTCGTACGAATTCCGTATATTATTGATGATCTCAGACAGATCCTAGTGTCAAAGAAGGTTTCATAAGGTATTTTTATTCATAATGCCAAACATCTCATAGTCAAGGACGTTGACGTATAGTGACGAGTCACGTTCAATTGATTGTTCAAAAATGATCCGTAATGTAGCGATTTGGTCTATGCATGACCGATACTTACGGAATCCAGTCTGTTGATCTCGAAGTTGAGCGTCTACTGAATATTTCATTCGCTCCAAAACCACTGTTAAAAAGGTTTCCCGGTACTGAAATTAGTGTGATTTCTTTGTAGTTTTCAAAACTGTTCAGATCTTTCTTTGATATCCTGATGAGATGTTTCGCCATCCACTCTCTTGGTACATGTTTTCTCTCCCAAATATTTCTGAATAGAATGTTGAGCATCGCTGCAGATACTTTTCTGTATTAAATCATAGCCTGGTCATGCTGCTTTACCGCTCTTGATTTGTCTGATGACCACTTTAATTTCTTCGACCGTTGGCAGAGTGACATCTATAGGTAGGTCTGAGTGTGCTGCTTCGATGTCTGATGAGTTTAGTGAGGCTGGTCTATCCGAGAGTTTCTCGGAGCGTTCCACTCTTCTGTTCCTCTGTTCTTGAATTTCAGAAATTGGTTTGTTCTCTTTGTCCTTGACCGGTCTATCTGGTTGATCATATCTCCTTACCAGTTTCTTGGTCGTCTCATATAGTTGTTTCATATTTCTTTCTCTTGCAGCTTTTTCCGCTGTCGTTGCTAAACCTTCAACGTATTTTTGCCTGTCAGCTCTAATGCTCCATTTCGCTTGCTTGTTCGCTTCTGTGTACTCAGCTTGTGCCTTGAACTTCTCTGTTCTTGTTCGGTTGTTGTTAATTGCTGTCTTCTTGTTCTTTCTTTCTTGTATTGTGTCCAGGTTTTCGATGGAGATCCTTTTTTATGATGACATTTATTGTAACCCAGCGCCCCTTGACACGTTGAATTTAGTACTTCTTTCATTCCTTTCCAACTGCTCTACATCGTGGTTTCTTTTTTTCACTGTATCTCGTAAGGCTTGGAACTTGTTGTTGAGAGCTACCTTGAATTCGCTGAGTTTGTCGCTATCTAGTAGGAAGGCTGTATTGAACCTTTGTACTAATGTTTCTCCAGTTGTCCAATGCTTCTTTAGCTTCATTTTCATCTTGACTACAACTAGGTGGTGATTTGAAGTTTTATCAGCTCCTCTACTGGTTCTCATATCTTCCATTGTACATACAAATATGATCTAACTGATTCTCCGTGGTATGATCCGATGAGAAGTAAGTAGATTACTGCGCGCGTTCACAAACATCCACCTGAAGTTTGTGCTGACGATATCGTCCAGAATAATGATGAAAGCTCCACGACCAAACTATTCAGC